TCCTTCCAGACTGAATCTTTGTGAATGATTGGGAAAAGGAATATTGATTATTCCTAGAGCTCAGCTCTATATATGCTTTTCAATTTTTGCAGCATCTCTCTTCCAGTCTCTAGATGCGATGAGTTAAAATTTCCTAATACCAAGTCAGCTTGGTCAATTCAAACTCATTGTTTTTTTTTAAATTCAAATTTAACAGAGATGACAACTTTCCTCTAAATAACCCCTTAAAGACAATGCAATATTTTCATAATAATATTTACACATTTTTTGCAACTAAGGGCAAGCTTTATCAGTTTCCTCTGTTATATTTCATTTATCAATGCTTTATGTTAATGGAAATGTTTGTTTTGAAATGACATTTCTACAATTCAGCCAAATTTACCCAGGAATTTGCTCTTCTTCTAGATCAGGGGTGTCAAACTTGATTTCATTGAGGGCTACATCAGGGTTGTGCTTGACCCCGGGGGGGCAGGGTGTGGTGGTGGGGGCATGGTCAGCTCAACATCACTTGGGTCACAGGCACTCCTCCCAGACTACATTTTTGGTTTATTTATTTATTTTATTTATTTACTTGATTTGTCAATTGTTTACAAGATAATAAGTATAAGTGTATACATAGTTATGAATACATGAAATGGGTACATATAAGAAAAATAAAAGAAAAATAAAAGAAACAATAGGACAGGGATGGTAGGCACGTTGGTGCGCTTATGCACGCTGTTGTGACGGCCTCCTGTAGTGCTCTGCCACGTGGCCCTCCTGAGCTCCATTTTTGCTGTGAGCATTGTGGGCCGGTCCTTCCCTGTTTCCAGGGTGGCTCTGCTGGCCAGATCTAAGCACCTCACAGGCTGGATCCAGTCCACAGGCCTTGGCTAAGCCACCCTGTAGAGGTGGTGAAGAGGGGGGAGACTGCCTGCAGGGTTGAGGAGAGCCGCATCTCTCCTCCCCAGCTGGCCATTACTCCCTTTCCCGAAGGCGGTTGTAGTGGTGGTCAGAAATGGCCACCACAAAGAAGAACTCGACCGGAAAAGAATGTGCAGGAGGAAGATAAGAAGAGAAAGTTTTGGTTGACCGGGTCAAACAGCAAAAGCAACAAATAAGGTACCCTGGAATTGAAACTATTAAAAGAAAAACAATAACATTGTTCCCTAAGAAGATTTTTAAGCTGCGAAGGAGAGAGAAAAGGGAAAAGATTTAGGTTTGTTTTTTTCTCCTTTTCCTATACTGACAGCTTAGAGACTTAAGCAAGAAATTGGAAAAAAATCCACTTTGACATCAATAGGCATTTAATGCTGAAAATAAAAAGTCAAAGGGATAATAAAGATTTCTGGATAATCAAAAGTTTTTGAAAACAGGAAAGGAGAGAAAAAGAATAAAAGGGAAGGATCTGGAAGGGAGGAGACTGCCTGGAATTAAAAAAGAACTCACAGCAAAATCTCAACAAGACTTCCAAAAGATACATTCTAACTGAAATATCGCAACAAAAACCCCAGGAAGAGAAAGTGGAAAAAGAAATAAGAAGATATAACTTGGGACTATTTGGATTACTTGATGATTTCTGGATTTTTGGTTATTGTATTTGAATGACTAAAATCAATCGGGTGGTTGTTTAAAACTGTTTAAAATGGCTCCACTTTTAGACGAACTGAAAATGGAACTTAAAAAGTACAAAGAAGATGCACAAGAAGGGAGAGGTTCTTTTGGCTTCATATTTCAGTTTTTAGAAATGGAGATTTGTAATTATGAGAAACAACAAGAAATGCCTGCAGAACAAGAAGATTGCAACAAAGAAGAAGCCATCTTTAATGAACAAGTAATCTTCGATCGGGGGAAAAAAGGAAAGGGGGGAAAGAAAATGGAAAGTTTAAGATTGGGAAAAACAACTCCAAAAAAAGAGAGTGAAAAATAAGTATAAAATCAAAAAGCAACAGAAGAAGAGGGAATGCAGAAGAGAGAATTAGAAGTAGAGAGACAAGGGGGTAAAAAGGGGAGGGAGAAGATGAGAGGGAAGAAAGAAAGGAAAAGAAGTTATAAAGGACAGAAACAAAATATAGAGAAACAGGGCCTATTTAGAGATAATGGGTGAAAATTTAATGGAAAAAGGGATTCTGCAAAGGTACATAAGATAGTATTGTTATATTAGAAACAGAAATAATTTTAGAAAATATGAAACAATGTATGATTAAAATGTTTGATAAAATAGCTATCGTAATTCAGTGGAATGTTTGTCAATAAATAAATGTAACAAAATGAATATTTAATGATTTACGAAACATATGTGAAGAGAAATAAGGGAAAAATTAATTATGGAAAGATTATATGTGTCCCCAAGGAAGTATGATATTTAATTGAAAAGAAGTGTTAAAGATGTTAAGATTTTAATGATTATTAATGATAGAACTGAATTGGAATGGAATGAGGGTTTATAATTACATATATTTATAATCCTTTTTTAAAAAAAGAATATAATGTGTATTATAAGAATGTACCAAGCAGAATTCGATTGGAAGTTATGTATTATGTATAAAATTGAAGGTCATAACCTTAAGGTATATATTGAAGTTTAAATAAGAGTTGAATGAATGTAATTAAAAAACTATGGGTAACTTTTAATCAATGGTAGAAACTTAAGGTAGATACATCAAGCTGTAGTGGTGCAATGCTTAGAATGCAGTATTGCAGGCAAACTTTGTCCACAGCCAGAAGTTCAAGTCTGACCGGCTCAAAGTTGACTCAGCCTTCCATACTTCCAAAGTCTGTAAAATGAAGACCCAGCTTGTTGGGGGCAACGTGCTGACTCTGTAAACTGCTCAGAGAGAGCTGTAAAGTACTACGGAGTGGTATATAAGTCTAAGTGCTATTGCTGTTTTGTCCCTTGGTATTCTCTGTGACATTTTATAGAAGTGAAAGTTGAACTTTAGAGAAGCAGATAGGAAAAGTATTGATGCCTTTAAATTTTGAAGGTGAGAAGAGTGAGAATAGTATGAATAGCCAACATAACAAACCGATAGATCATCAAAAATCAACTCTGAGTTCTTACTTGAGTCTCAGGCATCTTACTTTGGACATATGATGTGAATACCCAGCTCTTTGGAAAAGGCTCTAATACTGGAAAGGTAGAAGGAAAGAGAAGAAGGGGACAACCAATAGCAAAGTAGATGGATTCCATTACAGTGCAATGAGTGCACCTGTCAAGCCCGAAATTGACATATGTGTAGCCATTTTAGTTAGGCTTAGTATATATTTTTTTCTTACTTTCTCTTGGCGGCCATGGGGAAAGGGTTTCGACACATTCCTAAGGGGGGACGAGGGGAGATAGAGAGTTGTTTAGGCTAGGTGATTCTTCTTCCCGTGGGAAAACGCGCTGACTGTGCTCAGGCCCCTTGAGGTGGAGATTTATGACATCAAGCAATGTTGAATAACTTCTATTGGAGAATGTGACTTTTGGGGGTTGTTTCTAAATTCTAATATTGTGGGGTAATTCTGGGTTGTGTCAGATCCGGAATTACCACGGACTTTGCCAATTTGATGTTTTCCTAAATAAAAGAAATTGTCTTGGAAGATGGACTTTGCACTTTTCTTTTAAAATAAATTTCGTCACTTGGAAACCTGACAGCACCATTGGGAGACTTGAAAGAACAGGTGTGGGATACATCATTGTGGGGGGAAAAAATCTATGTGGTTGCTAGGAATTGAAAACAATTTGTGATCATTCATCAATCAATAGGAGATAAGAGCTGCAGCACATCTTTTTACAGGAGTACAGGAAGCAATTAAAAATTGAGACAGATCACTGATCCATCTAGTGCAGAATTTTTAGCTCTAACTAGTCTTCCAGTTTTATACACGAGTTTTTTCTAACCCAATTTGTTGATGTCAGAACCTTTGGATCATCTACCGTACCACTGAACTAAGGGCTACCATGTCCCTCTAGTTCAGAGGGAGCATTTCCACTAAACTTGAAAACCTTGAATTACGCCGTCTTCGGTCTGACTTAAGCATGGTATATAAAATCATACATTGCAATGTCCTACCTGTCAATGAATACTTCAGCTTCAACCATAACAACACAAGAGCACACAATAGATACAAACTCAAAGTAAACCGCACCAAACTTGATTGCAGGAAATACGACTTCAGCAATAGAGTGGTCAATGTCTGGAATACTCTACCCGACTCTGTAGTTTCTTCCCCAAACCCCAAAAACTTTAACCTTAGACTGTCTACTATTGACCTCACCCCTTTCCTAAGAGGTCTGTAGGGGGCGTGCATAAGCGCACCAACGTGCCTACCGTCCCTGTCCTATTGTTTCTCTTATTCTTTTATTTTTCTTATATGTACCCATTTCATGTATTCACAACTATGTATACATTTATACTTATTATCTTGTAAACAATTGGCAAATCAAATAAATAAAATAAATAAAATAAAATGCCCCAGTTTCTAGGAGCTCAGCTGGTGAAATAGCAGTAGCTGCAGCCCAAGCAACAGTAGGATTCAGTTTTAAGGGTGGTTGCAGCCTCACACTAGTGACAGCAAGGTAAACAAGTTCTGCATTTATTGCTTTTAATTACATACAAAAATCTAAAAAATGTACTTTTAGAACTTCAAAAAAGAACTCTTATTAGAAGCTCAGCTTTCAGTACAATAGGTCGGTTCTTATTCAGAAATCATAACAATGAAAGCATCTTCCGAGTGTACTATTGCAAAGCATCCTTTGAAATTACGATTCGGAGAGCTGTACGTTTCTAAAGGGAAGGAATCGTTAATCACACTCCCCTTAATTGATTCTGTATTAATAATGCTGATTCCGGATTCATTTTATTGCGAACGCAAATGACAGACAAATACGAGGTAGCGTTGGGAAAAAGATTCACCAGATAAATTTACCGCAATTTTAACTTGTGTAATATTCTACATTTGTATCTCTATGGAGGACTTTTCCGACCTCCTCCGTACTCCCAGGACCACCGCATCTGCGCTTCCGTTTTGTCACGTGGCGGAGGCGGAGATTCCGCGGCGCCGGGAAGTGAGAGCATCATGGCGGCCTCTGAGAAGGCTGAACGCCGGAGACGCCGGAAACTCCCGAAGACCGACAGCGCGGCTCCAGGTGATGCCATCCTCCCATGTCGAAGCATGACTGCTAGTTGGACGTGCCATGGTGGCTTGTGCTTTTTTTTTAAAGGAAGCACTTGGGCCCATAAGCTAATTTGTGTTGAAGTCGGTTGTGAATAGTGTGTTGAGGTCGTTGGCTGTTTGCTGCTCGGTACTAATTACCGTAGCTGGGGTTCAAAATCCGCATCATTAAGAAATGCAAAGCACCTTTTGGCCGTCCGTATTTTTGCAGACCAGATAGGCTGTTCTTATCCTCTACGTGGATGATAACCATGCAGTGGATGTCATTTATTTATTTTTAAAATAAATTCATCTTAGACATTTATAGCCAACTTTTTAGTGTGTTCGTATTTGTTTTTTCTTCAATATATTTATTAGTTGCTGTGAATGCTCTTGGGCTAAAGTGCAAAATAGCTAAATTCAGAGTGGCTGTGCCTTTCTTTCAAGAGATGATGTATAAAGGCATATATATGGTACAGAAGTGTCGGCCCTCCAGCTTTTCTATTATATATTAAAGTTCTATATATGGGGAGACAAAATACTTTTATATATCTAGAATGAGAGAGAACAGTCAAATCACACTGTTGTCTGAAAGAAAAGAGACACTGCTTTACTGTTACCTGTTTTAGGAGGGTTTTTTTTTAGCTGCTGCAGCAGCAGGTCTTAGGAAATGCTCTGCTTTTACCATTTTTTCCAAAGCGGCAGTGTAAAACATTTTGAAGACGATTGCAAGAAAATACATAGAAGTCCCCAGTTATTAAAAAAAAAGTTGGCTTATTTAGAACTTAGAATAACTTTGTCACTTTGAATGTACACTAATTGGCATACATTAAAATGAAATTTCGTTGCATACAGCTCTCAAAGGGTCTCTATCTTTTTTATGAAAGTCTTACAATGGCTGCATTTATAACAGTAATTGCTGGATTATGGTAGATTTGCCACCAACAAAGGGGGCAAATGCATCTCCTTGCCAGTTTTTTCTTGCTCCAGATTGGCACTGTCATAGCACTGCTTCCTTTTGATCAGCTAGGGAACCTCATTGCTAGATGCACACTTAGTGCTATTCTTTTTTTGATGAGGTGGAATAGAACTTGTTGCTGAACCTTCTGTTTCTCCGGCTAATAATCTTCAATCCAGATGTTTTTATGTTTGAAAGACATTGTAACATAAATATTTTTGCCAACAGAAGATGAATCCGAACTTCTCACTGTTCCTGATGGATGGAAAGAACCACCTTTTACAAAAGAAGATAACCCTAAAGGACTTCTGGAAGAAAGCAGCTTTGCTACTCTTTTCCCTAAATACAGAGAAGCTTACTTGAAGGAATGCTGGCCATTAGTGCAGAAAGCTTTGAATGAACATGTAAGAATCTTTACTTATACTTTCATAGAGGATATTGAGGAAAATCACGACTTACCTGTATTGATAAATAACAGGTGTTTACTATAGATGATTCCCTTATTCACTGTCTACTTTGTGAATTCCCAAATATGCAAATAAAGAGGCCTGTAGTAATATGTTCCGCAAGCAAGCTATTTCTATATTCACTGCACAAGAGTTCCTATAATAGTGTGTATCATGTCAGTTATTTCGAAATAAATGAATTTCAGATGATTTATTAATAAGTTTGTATTACAAACATAGTTGAAAGCAAAAGCGGTAATACTGATTCCAAGATTTTGAGGTCCCCAGGGCAGGCTGTAATTAATGAGTTACATACCTTAAAATATGCCCATCTACTCATCCCCCGTTTTAGCATTTGCTTGATTCTTCTGGCTCCAGATTGACTTCCTAGTTAAAAAGTCCAGGATTTTTGAAGATGGCAGAGAATAGATAACAAAAGGAAAAAGTAGGAAATAGGACCTGAAGATTTCAAAGGCTGCAGCTGAAGCCTTGTTAGGGCTATGGTCCCTAATTGACAACACAAATCCAAACATTCTTCATATAAAATCTTTTAATTTAAAAAGGCATCTGCTTAAGACTTCTAAATAAAACCCTTACCGTTATGAAAATGTCTAATTCTTCTTTGTTCCTAGATACTAATACTTTTTTGTTTATAAATTTTACTGATCACATACATTTCTGAGATCATTAAGAATTTGTTCTGTTCTTCTGAAAATAGTTTGTTGTCTTATGCTACAGCATATAAATGCAGTTTTAGACCTAATTGAAGGAAGCATGACTGTCAGCACAACAAAGAAGACCTTTGATCCATATATCATCATCAGAGCCCGAGATTTAATAAAACTTTTAGCCAGAAGTGTTCCGTTTGAACAGGTTTGTTTTTCTGTCTTTTTAAACTTTAATTCTTTAATTTCAAGAGGTCTGATAACAAACTCAACCTGATTAAGAATCCTGATTCAGAAGTTTCTTAAAAGAAAATGAATATGTTATAATAAGATACTTGATTATATCTCTCTGATTTCCATTCAGTCTGTACGTGTCCTTGAAGATGATATTGCATGTGACATCATTAAAATAGGATCCTTGGTCAGAAATAGAGAAAGATTTATAAAAAGAAGACAGAGACTTATTGGTCCAAATGGATCTACTCTAAAGGTATGTATTGTTCTTTTAACTTCTATGCATACTTATTAAAATAGGTCCTCTGTAAATGTGATCTGAATGCTTGTTTTCATATTCAGTAAAATACGTGCCTATGATAATTGCATCCTGAAATGTATACTGTTATCTTGTTTTTATGTAGGCACTAGAAATATTAACCCGTTGCTATATCATGGTTCAGGGGAACACTGTTTCAGCTCTTGGACCTTTTAATGGTTTAAAAGAGGTAAGATCACCTTGGGATAGAACATTTTGCACATTCAATTCAAGCTATAATAGTATTTCATTTAAATTTAAAGAAAGTATCTATATACTAGTCCATAATTGTAATAAAGATTTGATTTTGGGAAATTACCGAATAAATCAGTAGTTATATTGAAGTTCTATTTGTTGTATTAACATAATTTTATGAAACAAGCTAAATTCTATGGTTATGCTGTGCAAGACAAAACATGATATAGATGGAGCATTGTGTCGGAATGTGTTGCTGTCAGAATTCTGATAATTGCCGAACAAATCACAGTATGCAACTTAAGAACAGAATCCAAATTTAACGTGATCCAAATTCTTACACACTAGTAGTCCTTTGTGCAATATGTATAATAATCCTGTTCCAGATTAGGTCTTCATTAGTTTTATTAAAATTTTAAAGGGTACATATACTTAAAGAAAATAACATTTTAAAAATAATCTTCCAGTGTTAGAAATGTAATCATCTAGGAATTAACTCAGGGTAAATAACCTGTATCCTACAAGTTACATACAGCCTTTACCATTCATTAGCAATTCCAGAGTTTTTTTTCTTCTTATAATCAGAGTATAAGATACCAGTTTTGCCTCTTAACATCCCCTACTCTCTTACTGCCCAACAAAAAATATCCAAAAGGAGAAATGGAACCTAAATTTCAGTTCTACACCTATAGGACTTGGACAGGGCAGAAACAGTGTACAGTATGTGGCCACATGACTTAAAAACTTTGCTCACCTTTGGTTTAAATCATTAAAATTAATCAGTTTGTAATCTTGTCTTTAAAAAAAAATAGGTTAGAAAAGTTGTTCTGGATGCCATGAAGAATATTCATCCCATATATAATATCAAGGTAAAATAAAAATAATTGATCTAAAATCATTTTGGCTGACTTGTTGATGTATTGTCTTTTTAGCATCCCTTTGAACATGCTGTGTTTTGGGTAAAGGAGTTGTATGTTTTTTCAGAATTCTGCCGTGAAATTGATTGGATTGAATTGAATCCCAAACCCAATATTCAGTAGACATCAGAGAATAATAAATAAACCCATCAAATAAAAATAATGTTATCAGTTCTATAGAATGCAGGTTATAATTCTGACATTGTAAGCCATAGTCAGAGAACAAGGGAAAGCCGTAGTTTTGCATCCTGAATTGATTCTTAGCTGTTTTCTTTTCAGTTTCTTTGCTGCTAAAAATGGAAAAATTCCTCCAACTGCCCATCCATGAAACGATCATGGAAGTTTTCTATACCTAACGGTCTTTCAGTCAAAAGAGTATAGATTTGCTTCTTTAAATATTTGGGATTACAAATTCATTTGAACACAAAATTCAAATAAATATGCCATTTGCTTCTTATTTTTTGCAGTTTATTGGTTCTACAGGTAAGTCCTTGATTTACAAACACAATAAAGTCTAGAATTTTGGTCATATGTCATTGGAATTATTAAGTGGGTCACCGTATGACATGGCTCAACTTTAGGACCATGCTGTGGCTTTCTCCTTAAGTGACCATGCAGGTCATTAAATAGAGCATGGGGTACCTAAGGCAGAGAGGGAATCCTCATCTACTGCAGCCATGTGCAAGTTATGGGGTTGCTATAGTGTGGCTGCTTCCATTTAAATGGAAATGGCTCCTTCTATTGAGGTTAGTTTCCTCTAGGAATGTGTGCCTTTGTTTTAACCCACAAAAGACAAGCCAAAAGCTCTCAAAACCATTGGGCTTAACAGCCATACTGAAAAGTCAGCAGGTTGTAAGTCTTATATTTTTGTTCAGCAGTGTGGTAATTTTGAATGGTCAATGAAGGAACTGTTGTAAGTCAAGGACTACTTGTTTTAATGATCTGGAGAGGAGGAATCATTAAATTGAGATAATTGTTACTTATACTTGATTATTTTCTCCTATATTAATGTGTACAATTATTAAATGAGTCTGTATCTGTGATATATGAAACCTGATTTTTCCTTAGGCTAGATAAATCAATAGAGTTTTTCTTCTAACTAACTGCTTGATGTTTTAATATGTTTAAAGACACTAATGATTAAGAGAGAATTGTCAAAAGATCCTGAATTAAGATTGGAAAGCTGGGAACGTTTTTTGCCCAAGTTCAAACATAAGAATTTGAACAAACGGAAGGAACCAAAGAAGAAAAATGTCAAGAAAGAATACACTCCCTTCCCACCTCCACAACCAGAGAGTCAGGTCTGTTTAATCTGAAATTTTACTGAACAACCTAATGGAATTTCCTGACATATGATGCCTTTAGTACATGAATCCCAAACTATGTTGTACCAGATGTTTAAGAGAAAAGGTAGCCTTCAAATGTGGCTAGTGAGGGAGGGGGGGTGTTTCAAAATGTGAATAAATAAATAAATGATAACTCTACATCATCTGGATGGCACAGGTTCCCCATTCCTTATTTTAGTGTATTGTGAAATTTAACCAATGTTTCCCTATGAATATAACCTAAAGATAACAATAACCCATTGCGGTTTATTGGAAATAATTGTCTTTAATTGCAATATATATGTGTAATGATTTGCTACCCAAAATAACTTACTAGGTTAAACTAATAGTATAATTGATTGTGTTTAAATTAAGAGTTTTATGTTTAACAGTATCTTTTCAATTTTAATATCACTTGGCTTTGTTGTTGCACTATGAAAACTATTAACTTCTGATTTTTTAAAATAAGGAATCATAGCAACTGATTTTTGAAAATATGGAACCAAGGCAACAATTTTTACTGTGGAAGATGTATGTTCATACTATTTTTACAGGTTGATAAAGAATTAGCAAGTGGTGAATATTTTTTGAAAGAAAGTCAAAAGAAGCGTAAGAGAATAGAAGAAATAAAGGTACAGTCCCTTGATTTCTTTGTTAATTAACAGTTGCTGGTTGTATCCAGAATGAAGATTGATTTGTTAATTAAAATATGTATTTAATTTTGTATATGCTACATGATCTTTTTTATTGTTAGGCAAAGCAAGCAGAAGCAATTAGCAAGCGACAAGAAGAGAGAAATAAAGCTTTTATTCCACCTAAAGAAAAGCCTGTTGTAAAACCAAAGAAAAGTAAGATTGGTTTATTATTATTATTATTAATGTTTTATAAAGGGGAGTCTCCGTGTTGAGAGGAAGCATTTTGATCTGTTACTCACATAATAAATTACTACTTTCAGGGCTCTCTGTTGAGAAGACTGAGGGCCAAAAATGGAAATTTAATGTGCTAAAAATATTATATTCTAATCCAAGAAAATACATTGTTTTTTGAAATACGTAAGGTATCAAGAATCTCTCTCTCTTGACATTTACATTCTGAAAATGTCTGAAAAGTTAATTTATAAAATTAAGTGTGATATGCAAGACCGAGAACTTATCCACCCCATAAATAGTATTTTAAACAAGATGGACTCTACTGTAGCATGGACTCTATCTACCTTTTATAGACGAAAACAATTACAAAATTATTTTATAAAGTTATCTTCACATAGCTTCTGTTTCTGTTTTCCCAGAGTTTCTACGATGACTGATTAAATATTAGGTATATTAGCTTAAGACCAAGCTTATTATTCAGAGCATTAATAACTAGATTAATCTGAAATACTATTTATAGGCCTTGGAAGTTATTTAAATGTAATTAATAGCTTTGGATCCAAAATCTATCTAATGGTTGAATTTAAAACTTACAATGTAAAATAATCTCTTTAGCAACATCTTTGTAGGACACGTTAATATAACTGGATTCATTAGCTTAGCATGTAACTCCACTTTTTTCGTGTTTTATGTTTTCATTTGAAAAGTTACTTTATTTGTTATGCTTGGAAATGTTTACCATATCTCTTGGATAAGACATCTTCATAAGAAAAATATACTCTTTTATTCTGTAGCGACAACCGAAACAAAGATTGATATTGAAGCAATTAAAGAAAAGGTTAAAAAAGCAAAGAAGAAGAAGCTTGGAGCAATACCAGAAGAAGTTAAATTAAAAATTGCAGCAGGTGAAAAGAAAAAGAAACCATCTTTAAAGCTATAGCACTTCACTTTTTGCAAGGAGGAAAGCTATGAACTCAGTTAATGTAGAAGATAAAAACTTGCCTTCCTTGAGGGAAGAAGGGAAAAATACCTTTCCAATTTTTTAATCTAAAACTGACAGCTTGCTCTGTTGTATTTTTAGCAATATGGAAAATATTTCCATACATGTGATATCCATTAGAATAAACAGTTGACTTATAGCTATTGGTGTAAAAATGATAGTATACACAGGATTATCATTGAAAAGATTTTATGCAGAGTACAAATACTTACCAACAAACTGTTTTTATTTGTTTTATTGCATGGGACTCTGAAAGATAGTTGTCTAATACATTACAAGAAATAACTGGTTTTCTGAGGACAGATGAAACATTTTCTAAACAAAAATGTATATTGCTTTATTGATGGTTTTGTTTACTAGGCTTTCATAAACTATTTATATATTTACTCAATCTTTTTGGAATGGGTCTTCTTTATGCTTTGTTTATATTACTGGAAAATTTGGCTTTCCAAATGCTGATTGCGTTTGAATATTGAGTTACTTTTTTTATTCAGATCAACAAAGAGCCAAGAGTGTGATAAGCAGAGTAGAATGGTACTTTGTGAATGTTGTTGTCAATAAATGTATGTTCATTGCATGTTTACCTGTTGAACTTTTTCTGCTACTTGTACTTTTTTATTCCTAAAAAACGTTTTGAAAATGTATCTAAAAATAATGGATGTCTTACTATTCTTATCAATTTATTGTTTAATAACAAAAGTGTTATTTTTTTATTCCAGTTTATTTATACATATACATTCTGGGATAATGTTGCTTCAGGAAAAAGACAGTTGAAAAAGTTATTAAAAATGAAGATGTTCTCAGGACTAGAACAATGATGCAGTAGGTATCACAATATGGCTTCACCCATACTTCACCTACAAATAAATTTCAAAAGTTATTTACAGTTGCATCTAGGTTAATGACAAATCAATATAAACATACGAAATTTGTAAATTTGGGGCTTCCTAGCTAGATAATTAAAGATTGGTATTTCATTCCTGGAAGTTCTGTTTTGAAAAGTTTTTTTTTAAAAGATCCTAACTTGGGCCAGGAGATGAAGAAATTTTACTTACCACAAAGTCTGTCTACGCAAGGCTCTCCGTAACATTCACTGCAAGTTACTCCCGATTTATATGGCCATGTTGGATAATTTCCACTGTGCAAAACAATAATTTTATCAGCTCATTTAATACAGAGACAGGAGAGAAGTTTGAACCACTCTTCTTTCAAGTCTTTCAACTGAATTATAATCTGAAATAATATTTGGTAAGTACTGGTTATTAAAACCATAGAATGGTGTTACTAGAAACGAACACAGCCAACTACAACAGAAGATTTCTTACATTTAAATCAATGAAATGATTTAAAACAATCACTGACCACATCAGTGAAATCTATAATTACCAAAATAGTATCCATTAAATGTGTAGTTGAGAAATTCACATACTGGGCTGAGCTATGGCCTGAACTTCAAGGTAACACGTGAACAAAGATTAATAGTTTAAAAACGCTTTCTTAGAACTTTTTGCTTTATTTTTGCTATGCTTGTTCTAATTCTATTGCTGATAATGTTTGAAGTTTATTGTGTTTACACATGTTAAATGGTTCAGTGATGTTGGACTCTTTGTAGCAGTTCCCATCCATCTTGAACCTCCTGACTTTATATTCTCCAATGATGGCTTTTATGAGAGATTCTTTTAAGATGTTGGTTTTAGACTACTATATGTTTTGTCCAACAGGTTTTTTTGTTTCTACATTTATTTATTTATTTAATTTATATTGCCGCCTACATACTGTACTGTACATTATAACCTGTGCTACTGATCTGCTCTCCAAAGAGGGAAGAAAGCTACTTCCTTTCTTAGCCACATACTCCAAAATTACTAGCAACAGGAGGTGACATAGCATTAATTTTATTTCCACTTTTTTTTTTTTGCTAGCAAGTAAGGCCACAAGCTGTGTGGGCCTTATCTCTCTCATATGATGGTATTAAAAGGGTGAATGCCAGATAAAGGTCTTGAAGAAAGTATGTCATGGCACTATAACTATAATAATAAGGCACTAAGGCAGGGTCAAGATGTGTAAAATCAGAAGACTTTAGGAGAAGTCTTTTTCTCTGTTTCAACTACATTTCTACTTTTAAAAAATTCCCAAAGTGCCTTAGTTCCTCACCTTCTAGATTCTAAAAAGATTCTAAAAATCAGAGCCTTAGCAGTAACAAATAATGAAATCCACAAAAATAAAATAATGAAACTCAGCTGAGAATTTATTTAATTGTTTGAAAAACTTATAATCAAAAATCTCCACAGTCAAGGATTATGAGTGAGTGAGAGTCCTTGGATTCATCTTCCAGTAGAATTTTACAGTTGCTGCTTGCAATGCTTTTGTCCCTGACATTAACCAATCTTAGAGAAATGGCCCAGTAGCAGTCATTCCATTAGTGTTTCTCAACTTTGGCAACTTTTAAGATGTACGGATATTGACTCCCCAGCCAATTCGAAAATATTAACCATACTGGTTTGGAACTCTTTAAATTGTAGTTTACAGGAAAGGATGGGAAAGGTTGCCCCAGCACTTTAAAAGGATCCAGAATATTAATAGGATTGATTTCCTCATAATTCAGCCCATTTCATGTAATTACAGTTAGAGTAATCTGGTATGGATCTGGTACATGATCAACCAAAGCTAAATTTGCATTCTGGAGATAGAACTCAACATTTGTTTTATTGTGGGTTTTAATCTTTTATAATTTTTCATATCAAAGGAGTAAATGGACATTAATACACATAGGTATCAGTTTCTCAATTCCAAAAGGAGAGAAGAAGGAGAGATTTTCCTTCTAAGATAATTTCTGACAAATTGCAATTGAAAAATCTTACCCAGGTCCATAATCACAAATGAAGTGTGCAGCATCAGATCCACCAAAGCCTTGTACTACAGGACAATAGTGAACAGCACAGCCTACTTTGTAGGTTTCTGCCCAAACCATCTGAAAATAAAAGTGGTATATTCTGTGGTAATTTAGTGTACACTATGGTATATTCTATGGTAATTTAGTATATAAGATTAGCCCACAGTTGTGCTAAAAATTGGACAGCTGTGTAGCATTTTCTTTAATGATGATAACATGTTAATGTTCAAAATATTAACAAAATTAATTTACAGGCATATTAAATCAATCACTGACAGCTAATATATTGAAGTAAGCTTAACATGAAGTACTCTTGCTGCTTTGCCTGATTCAACTCACTGCTGCTGCTTTTTTCAGATCGATATATAGACTTAGATTGTGAAATTATTTTGAAAACACCACTTTCTCTTATTTTTTCATACCTAAATACTAAAAATCTTTCAAAATAAACTCAGCTTTTTTACATACAGACTGGGATGGGGATAGAGAAGAGTATTTTTGTGTGACCAATCTGTAGGTTTATTATAACTGAAAAGTGTTTCCTTAAACATATAGAAAGTTGTTCCGAGATCAACTTTCAGAGATCTGAAAAAAATGAGATTCAACTTAATGTTTTCTCCCAAACTATATATTAAAAACAACATATGAAAACTTCTCTGTGACTTTTATCATTCCATGAAGAATAATTAGAAATGGATGATTTCTGATTTATTGGCTAGGCCCAAAATACAAAGAAGGAAGGTTTTTCGTGATTGGGCAAAGCAAAAAAACAATACATCTCTGAATTTGTATTTGTATTTATTTTATATTTGTATTTATTTTTCCTTCAGGTTATTAAATAAAATGGATGCAAGAATAGCTAGTCAGCTGCTGTTAAGCTTGAGATTGGGTTTGATGGCAGTGCCATAGCAAATGCTAACAGTAAGGCATAAAGCCATTGGGTCATGGAAAATGGGTATTTTTAAAAAGTTGGGATTGGTGGTGGCTCAACATTTGCCTTTATAGATTGGTCACTTTTTTTGGCCTAGGCAATTTTAAAGTACAATTGCAGGCTTGCCAAGTGGAATCAATCAATTTGGAAGTTGTAACGACAGTAATCTAGATTTTTTTTTTTAAAAATGACAACTGTTATTTTTAGAAATCATAATGCAAGATATAATTAATGACTTACCTGAGTATAATGCCCACATACATGTTTACAATGTTGAGTAGCATAATTGTAATATTGGACTTCATTGTACCAATTAGTGAGGGCTGAAGTTACATTAAAATACCAAATGCTTCCAGTCCAAATATTTTCTCCGACTATTGTGAAGTTTGGGTGGGCCTTCCCTGGTGACTGGAGATCAGGATTATGATCGAATTGGCACATTTTTGCCCAGCCAAGAGCAGTCTTTGCAAGATCATGGTCCCAGCTCTACAAAAGCATAATATATATTATGATCACTTTATTTGGTATTCCTGGATTTTTTTTAAAAAAAATAATGCAATTGTTTCCCCATTTCACCCTACCACATAGATTTGTATATAAATTTTATCCCTCGGTTCTAACTCACTTCTACTGCAGATTGGGGAATATATAAACCAGAATGCTCAATGCCTCTGGCTTTGCACTGTTTTGTAGTTTTTACAAAAACAAGCTAGCTGCCTGCTTATTCCTGACTCATCAACATGGATATGAATGTAACTATATAAATACATGTGCAAAAATGAAAAAAATTGTTATTATGCATTGCACTGTACCATATGTTGTAGAATAAACTACAGTTAACTAAGACAAATAAATCATTATGTAATCTGTGAATCCAAACTGGCATACTAGCTTTGAAGAAAAGTCAGAAAAGGCATTAAAATTATTTTATATAGTATTTCCTTCTTCAAAAAGTAACAGCCTTTTAGGAAGAAGGGGGTCCTGTGGGACCATGGCACAATGTTCATTTTGCATCACACTAGTGATATTCTTCTCACAGTTGCTATTTAAAATTTGCCTCAATAGCTGGTCACATTAAATGGGATACACATTTAATCTCTGGTTAGACACTGGTTCTCAGCCTTTCAGCTAAGATCAAGCATGTGTGTAGTCTGTTCTCATAAAGTGCTTAACTGGGTCAAGTAATCCCTCATGGCTTAGATTTAGCCCACAGGATATTCATACTTGCGTAGGATTAAACTGATTCCAGCCAGTCACTTGGGTAGAACTAGAACAACTAAAGACAAGGCAGTTGCCCCCATTTGCTTATGTAGACCACCAAGAAAGGGCTAGGAGAAACAGCCCATATATTCATTACAGAGCTCCATGTCAAGGCCCAGAATGGAACATACACTCCAAACATTGAATGGCTTGTGATATTATAAAGCATTGCCAACGTGTTCTTGAAGCCAAGGTTCATGGGATGCTAGTAGCATTTCTTGGAGAAAGTGGGTGAAACTTGGTATTTCCTAAATAATAACTTTAGACCCAATTGGTGTGATTGGTTGCTGCACAAATCATTGGTAAGTTATTGGTAACATGGTTATTCAGAGCATGGCTTTGATACAATGCCAAAGTTGCTCCAGAAAAATGGGCCTTTTTTGCACTATATTACATTTGCCAGACATACTAAGGAACAATACAGTAGTACTCTTTTGAGATTTCTATCCCATCTATTTTTTAAATTATATAATTATTTTTGAAACTGGAAAACCACCCAGCAGGAGACATATTTAAGGGGGGAGGAAGATTAGTGGTTTGTTTGAAAATGTGCCTTCCTGTTCAGAAATCAACGGATGTTAGGACAACAAAAAGGACCTAAAGGGTTAAAGTGTAAATGGTGTCTCCCACAGCAACTATTTTGCCAACAGTGGGAATTCTCATAGCTTCCATTTGGAATTGATGTTTGCTATACACTCTCAAAATTTCCAGCTTCAAAAGAAACAAAATTAGTATCAAGCCTTGTCAGAGAATTAGTTTCAGCAGAGCAAAATTCTCTTAAAAGAACTAGAAATATCTAAGACAATTCTAAACCTGCAGGAAGTATGAAATGTACATTCTTCATTGCTACAGATTATGATGATTTCCTTACCATCCGTTTCATGTTGCTAGCTGGTGGGTCCACACTGGATCGGAATCTATTATGCACTCTGACACATTCTTCAATAAAGTGTGCATTTTCAATATCCGGTAAGGTATGTTGGTTATAAAAACAGCAGCACACTTGCAGTTTCAGGAACAATAAAATACCAAAGATCAGGCTTTTTTCTGTCATTCTGGACTGCTACACAATGAGCCAAAATATTTTAAAACAAAAACCAAGTTATAAGAAGTCCTTTAGGCTATTCTGTTTAACAACTTCTGCTTGGCTTTTATTTAATCTTTCTTTGGTTCCGTTGTTAACAATTAAAGGCACCCGGAAATGAACAAATACCTACAAGTTGAAGGCAGAGCCTAGTGATGGATGAGTCACTTTCACCCACTGAATTGTTCCTGTTCTTACACTGTTTTATAATTCTATCTTGTATGTAAATCTTAAGTAATGAGAGAACATTAACAATGTCCTGTGATTTATATTGGGAAGTTGTCTAATTTTTAAAAATTCATTGTTTTTTATGGTTTGCTTAAGTGTTGAAATCCAAACTTAAAATTAAATTGCTGGAACTTCAATGGTTTAAGATGTCAGATCTCATCAGTAAAACAAAACAAAAACATAGAGTAAATAGCAGGAAAGATAATGAAACACACACACACACACACACACACACAAGGATAGTTGTTTGACCAATGAATTAATTACTATTTGCTAATTGCAAAGCTTAAACTCTTACCCAAAAATAAATTCAGAAATGCCCTGGTCACTTAAAACACCAGTCCCCAATCCCAATCCCAATGGAGAAGCATTGGTCTGCAGTATGCCAGCAACTAGGCTGCACAAACAAGCTAAGCCCCATCTGTGGGATACAGGCAGCACACAAAACCACACCCGCTCAGGTCCACAGAAAAGCCTTTCCCTGGTGCCCAAAAGGTTGTGGGCCACTGACTTAAAAAGACCTGTCCAACACCAATTGGTTCACTCTGTTTTAATAAATGGGCAGAGGGAATTATAGTGGCTTTCCCACTATATTGCAGGGATTAAGCCTACGTTAGGACCTGTCCAAGCAGGGGGAAACAGGCAGTGAGGCCCTTGCTTCAGACAACTCATCTTCGGTATCATGAAAGGACTGAAAGTCATAACTGTATTTTTACTTTCTGGGAGAAAAGTACCTATGGGAATTTAACTGAAGCAATTACAACTTGACTGAATTTAAATAATTTGCAGTTCGCTACTCAATCTGGGACAGGAAAATATCTTGAGCTGGGTCTGCTTCTGGTGATATAGATTTGGATATATTGTGATAGGCTTAATTTATTTGTTTTTATGGTACACTGCTCGTTTTGCATGGTTCTCATTTACTTTGTATTTTGTTGTTAGCTGCCTATGTTTTGGAAGTGAATAGATTGCAAATACTGTTAACCAAGCAAATGAATAAAGGGTATCAGTTTCTTATATCGTATCTCTCTTCATCCTATCAATCTGTATTTCTGTTGGGTGGATGAGTTGGGAAGGTGTGTGTGTGCGCACTTTACCTTTTAAAATTCTTGATTTTCCTTATCTTTTAAAAATCCTGGTAATGTCCTTCATTTATGCTATCTTTAAAGATTCATAGCATGTTTTGAAGGTGAGGCATGCGATGAATAACACAATTATCCCAAAGGGGGAAAAAAAGAACATTGGTTTGTTGAGGCTCAATGACGGCTAGAAACAGTATACAGGAACTTGAAGACTTAATTTCCTGTTCCTGTCATGCAGCTTTTGCATGGATGAAATTTCTGCTCCTGTTGCATGGGAGATTGGTTGGGGTTGTGGAAACTGGAAGGGAGCATATTGCTTCTGGAATACTTATGGTAGTATAGTTTTCTCTTTCTTTCTCTCTCCCTGTTTCTCATCTCTCTCTCTCCTCCATGGCAAGTGCAACAGCGTCAGTGTCTTGGGAGAAAAACCGCGTGTCCCCCCCCCTCCAATATTCCTCAGCACCAACTTTAGCACGTTTCACAAATGAGGTGCCGCAATGGTGCTGGTGTCCCCTCCTCCCCATTTGTGAAGCACACAAAGTTTAAAGGTGCTGCACGAGGGGCATGCTTACAGGGCAAGACCACACCCAACCACCTTTCCCAGGCCCGCTTCCCTGAGGGGGCACCCGACTGTGCTTACCAGCTGCTGAAGTGGCCAAGACGAGCAGGAGGCAGAGGTGGATCTACCGGTAGGTTGAGTTGGTCCATCAGACAGGCGGGAGGCGGGCGCAGGGCAACTTGAGGCTGCGGCAATCGGATGGCGGTCGACCAAACTTCCCAGCCTCACTTCCCCAAAGGGGAAGCATAGCGGGGGGAGGAAAAGCAAGCTGTTGAGCCCGAGCCCATGGCTTGCCATACCTGGGGGGGGGGATGCAGTGGCAAGATGGCAATGGTAATGGTGGCAATGGCAGCGATTCTTGCAGCATCGGGGCTTCTAGGAGCAGCTCCCCACCCCGCCGCCCATCAGCTGTTTGTGTGGGCGAGGGGTGGGGAGGGCGGGGCCAGCCAGTGGTATGATTTGCCGGTTCTCTGAACTGCGCAGAATCATAACAACCGGTTCTATAGAACTGGTCCGAACCAGTAAAATCCCACCCCTGCTTAGTGCTATTCCTATTGCTAAATTACTGGAGCCTGATCTTGTGTTTTCCTAAATCTAAATGCACTGCCTGAGTAACCATGAACCACACAATTGTGTCCTATTCAATAATCATATATAAGTGTCTTCTGAACATGACTACTGGTGCAATCATACATACTTGAATTAAGGGAATTTAACATATACAGAAGGTATGTGCAGTTTATCACATTAACATTTATTAATCCCAACTCCCTTGTTTTAATATACATGTTTACAAAACATGGAACATATTAAATATTTTTTTTTACATTCGTATCATCAATAAAAAAGCATTAAGAATTTGACAAAATTCCATAAAAACAATGACTTGAACCAAATCTACTTTAAAAAAATAGAACTAGAAAATAATGTAACAGTTCATGTAAATATAATCTTATGATTAACCAAAGTAGTCAAAGAAAATTTTATGCATATAAAATACTGAAGATTATTTAGAAAAACTTAAACCCGGATAACAGATTTGTAAGTAATAAACAACAGCAAATGCCAGAAACATTAACAATGGCCTTAAAACTGCAACAGCAATACAAGATGGATCACATATAATCCGCCTTTCAAATGGTGGATACCATCGTGAATAACCTAGGATTAAAAAAGAGAGGGAGTTATAAATATAATGATTTGAATTGAGATGAGATAATAAAACTAAAATTGAAAAAATTAAAAGAGGGGAAAAACTATGTAGAAAATGTAAAACAGTAATAAGATATGGAATAGAACACAAAAATGAGCATGAAATTGAGTTTGTGTCTGTATGAAGAAGTGTAACCCGGGACCATGCTATTTTCAAAAAAAGATGTTTTATTTGTATTATGTTTTTTTGGGGTGTGTGAAAACCCAAATAAAACTTTCAAAAAAAAAAGAGGGAGTGTAAAAGTAAATTTAAAATATAAAAGACAATTGTAATACATACGCAAGCTGTTTTCTTTCTCGCGTTCAGAATTTCCTGTTTTTAAAAACAAACAAGGTTCAGACAAGCCAGTTAAAGCTTTTAGATTTTCTCTTGATACATTTTCATTTCTTATACAAATGAATACATTAATAGTAGCAGTGATGCCACATTAATCAGTCTTTAAAATACAAGCAGAGCTATCAAATTGATAATGCACCGTTTACTCCTATTTCTATAAGCTACTCATTTGGGCAATGGAAAGAAGCCTCACATACCTCTCTTTCCCCACTAAAAAGTAGAAAAAATTAACTCTGCTCTACCAAGATAAAATCTGAAAAGATTGAATATCAAAATTATTTTAAAAAACTGTAATAAAACTGTAATAAAAACTCCTTTTTCTCCCTCCTGGAACTATTTTATTCAGATTTGTACTCACTACAGAGATTGTCTTTACAAGTGTCTCCTTTTGGACAGTTGCTGCATGGTTTTCCCTCTTTATAAGGGCGTACTCCTTGGTAATTGCCCCTAAAAAACAGTAGATGAATACATTCTTAATCAAACCAATTATTATTAAGTAGACAAAGCTAAACTGAAAATTTAGCTGAAAATGTCAGTGACCTTACCTGAAGATCCCAAGTCAAAATGTCAAAATGTGCAAAATCTTGCTACATGGCGCATCTTACAGAATTTCAATTATCTTTTGTGGTACTGCTAAATTAATCTTATAATTCTTGAAAATAATCTGATCTTTTTTTTAAAAAAAAATTAGCGACTCCATGTTTAATGTTTTTCAGAATAACAGATGTACTTGTGCCCAGATGTCCCAAAGGTGCTTTTTCAGGAGGCAACTGGCCTTTTTTTTTTTTTTTCTCTTCTGAAGACGTTTCATTTCTCATCCAAGCTTCCACAGCTCTGACTGGATGGTGGCAAATGGAAGGATTTATATGTCTTGCAGACAGTTGGAGGTTTATCTGTGTCCTCAGGGTCATCCGAGTAGTGCAAATGGGTGAGGATCAGAGGTGGTATTCAGCAGGTTCTGACCAGTTCCGGAATAATGGAAATTCTGAGATGTTTGGAGAACTGGCAAATACTGCCACACCCACCAAGCCATGCCCACAGAACCTGTAGTAAAAAAAATTGAATCCTACCACTGGTGGGGATCCTTCTTGGAGTTGCTGAAAGGACTGTGTTATCCTGATTCAGCAGTCCATCTGCATTTATAAGACAAAAGCTATTCTTTTGAAGATAGCAAAGTCGAGAGGACAACTGGTTTGAAAGAGGGTTTCAAATAGGCTATCTATGTCAAAATTGAACAGTCCTCTCTCAATAGAGGAGGGATACAATATCATCTATCTCCAGTCTACAAGTCCTTTTAGTTAGAGCTGAAGAAGGATGAGAAATGAAACATCTTCAAAGAAAAACAAGAAAGTACATTTGCCTCTTGAAAACGCACCTTTGGAATAACCAAGACCTGGATGACTGACTGAGAAGGTCTATAGACATTGTGCACCAATGCTATAGGGCCAACACATAGCCTAAATTTGAAATCATGAAAGTCCCTTTACAGGTAGTCCTCGACCACAACTGAGCTCAAAATTTCTGTTATTTTGTTAAATGAGCTTTATCCCATTTTACAATTTTTTGGCACTGTTGTTAAGTGAATCACTGTAGTAGACAAGTTAGCAATCTGGTTATTAAGTGAATCTGGCTTCCCCATTGACTGTCAGAAGGTTGCAAAAGGTGATCACATGACCTTGGGACACAGCAATGTCATAAGTATGAACCAGTTGCCAAGGATCTCAATTTTAATCAGATGATCATGGTGATGCTGCTAAGGTTGTTAACTATGAAAAACGGTCACAAGTCACATTTTCAGTGCCATTGTAACTCTGAACAATCACTAAAGGAACTATTGTAAGTCAAGGACTACCTGTAATGTACATTTTTTAAAAATCAAGCAGAACTTTTCCTGAGTAGATAGTTCTAGAGGTTGTTGGCTCAATGCAACATATGAATTAAAGAGTGGCAC